GGACTATGGAGCCAAAGCTGTGTGCAGCAAGTAAAGCCACTGCCTGTGAGTGAACCAGCTGAGGAAGGTCTTTGTCTTTCCTTCTCCCTCTGTAAACCTGACTTTTCAAATAAGTTTAAATCTTAAAAAAAAAAAAAAAAGATGTATTTGTTTATTTGAAAGTCAATTACACAGAGAGGAGAGACAGAGAGACAGAGACAGAGAGAGAGAGAGAGGTCTTCCATCTGCTGGTTCACTCCCCAGTTGGTCATAACAGCTGGAGCTGCACCGATCCAAAGGCAGGAGCCAGGAGCTTCTTCCAGGTTACCCACACAGGTGTAGAGGCCCAAGGACTTGGGCCATCTTCTGCTTTCCATGCCATAGCAGAGAGCTGGATCAGAAGTGGAGCAACCGGGACCCAAAACAGCGCCCATATGTGATGCCGGCACTTCAAGCGGCAGCTTTACCGGCTATGCCACAGCACCAGCCCCTAAATACATAAATTCTAAAAAAAAAAAAAAAAAAATCCATGATACTGTACAACACACAGAGTGAACCCTAATGGAAGTTATGAGGTTTCCTTAGTAATAATGTATCACATCCAGTGGTTCATCAATTGTAACAAATGTATCACACTGATGCAAGATGTTAATATGAGAAACCACATAGGAAAGAGGAGATGCACAGAAACTTTGTTCTGCCCAGCCATTCTAATCAAAGTTGTACTGACACATTCTTATTCACTTATGCACATTGCTTTTTTTTTAATTTAATTTTATTTTTTGACAGGCAGAGTGGACAGTGAGAGAGAGAGAGAGAGAGAGAGAGAGAGAGAAAGGTCTTCCTTTTGCCATTGGTTCACCCTCCAATGGCCCTCGCGGCTGGCGCGCTGCAACTGGCGCACCGCGCTGATCCGATGGCAGGAGCCAGGTACTTATCCTGGTCTCCCATGGGGTGCAGGGCCCAAGCACCTGGGCCATCCTCCACTGCACTCTCTGGCCACAGCAGAGAACTGGCCTGGAAGAGAGGCAACCGGGACAGAATCCGGCGCCCCGACCGGGACTAGAACCCGGTGTGCCGGCGCCGCTAGGCGGAGGATTAGCCTAATGAGCCGCGGCGCCGGCCGCATATTGCTTTTAAAAATAGTTCATTGACAATTCTGAGTATATAAACAAAAGTAATGAAGGCAGAGACTCAGGGGCTGGAGTTGTGGTAAGGAGGTAAAGCTACTGCCTCTGCTCCACGCTAATGGCCTGGAAAAAGCAGCACTAGATGGCCCAAATGCTTGGGCCCCTACACACATGGGAAAACTGAAGAAGCCTGGCTCCTGGCTTTGGTCTGGCTCTGCCCTGGCCATTTTAGCCATATGGGAGTGAACCAGCAGATGGAGGACACATCTCTCTCTTTCTCTCTCCCTCTTTCTCTGTAGCTCCTTCCAAATAAATAAAATGAATCTTTTAAAAAGAAAGAGACTTAAACAGCTATATACCAAGTTTCAAAGCAGCATTATTCACAATAGCCAGAGGGTGCAAACAAACCAAATGCCCATCAATGGGTGAATGATTAAGCAAAATGTGGTGCACACATGCAACGGAATACTACTCAGCCCTGAAAAATGAAATGGTGACATATGCTACAATAGGTACAAAGTAAGTGAAATAAACCAAACACAAAGCGACAAATATCATATGATTCCACTTATATTGAGGTACACAGAATAGATTCCTAGAGACAGAAAGTAGAACGGTGGCTAGCAGAGGCCATGGAAAGAGGGGAACGGGGAACTCTTGTTTAATGGGTACAGAGTTTCAATAAGATAAACAAGTTCTGGAGACTGATGATGCTGCTGACTGCACAACAGCTGAATGTAGCTGATGCCGCAGAACTGCACACATAAACCAGGTAAGGGTGCGGTGGCACTGTGGTGCAGTGGGTTAAGTGCTGCACCACTTCATTGTGCTGGCAGCCCATAATGAAGCACCAGCTGGGTTCCAGTCGCCCTGCTTTCAATCCCGCTCCCTGCTAATATGCCTGGGAAGGCAGCAGAAGACAGCCCAAGTGCCTGAGACCCTGACACCAACATGGGGGACCAGGCTGGAGTTCCTAGCTCCTGGCTCCAGGGTGGGCCAGACCAGCCATTTGGGGAGTGAACCAGAGGATGGAAGACCTCCCTCTGTCTGTCCCTCCTCTGTCATCCTGCCTTTGAAACGAGTAAATCACTTGGAAAAAAAAGAAAGTTGAAATGGTGAGGTTTCGCCGGCGCCGCGGCTCACTAGGCTAATCCTCCACCTAGCGGCGCCGGCACACCGGGTTCTAGTCCCGGTTGGGGCGCCAGATTCTGTCCCGGTTGCCCCTCTTCCAGGCCAGCTCTCTGCTGTGGCCCGGGAGTGCAGTGGAGGATGGCCCAGGTGCTTGGGCCCTGCACCCCATGGGAGACCAGGATAAGCACCTGGCTCCTGTCATCGGATCAGCGCGGTGCGCCGGCCGTAGCGCGCCGGCTGCGGCGGCAATTGGAGGGTGAACCAACGGCAAAGGAAGACCTTTCTCTCTGTCTCTCTCTCTGTCCATTCTGCCTGTCAAAAAAAAAAAAAAAAAAGAAAAAGAAATGGTGAGGTTTATGTAGATTTTTTTGTCATAAAAAATGGAGGGGCTAGCACTATGGTGTGGCAGGTAAAGCTGCCGCCTGCAGTGCTGGCATCCCATATGGGCTCTGGTTTGAGTCCCAGCTGCTCCACTTCTGATCCAGCTCTCTGCTGTGGCCTGGGAAAGCAGTACAAGATGGCCCAAGTCCTTGGGCCCCTGCACCTGTGTGGGAGACTCAGAAGAAGCTCCTAGCTCCTACCTTCAGATCGGCACAGTTCCGGCCGTTGCTGCCACCAGAGGAGTGAACCAGCAGATGGAAGACCTCTCTCTCTGCCTCTGCCTCTCTATAATTCTGCCTCTCAAACAAAGAAATAAATCTTTGAATTAAAAAAAAAAAAAAAAAGGAAAAGGTACAGAAAAGCTGGTTAGCCAAACTGGAAAGCAAATTATGTTTCAACATTATACCCCACATAGAAATAGATTCCATTTGAAAAGCGAAACTTTTTAAAACTCTTAGAAGAAAATACAGGAATACACAATTCATACTCTGAGGCAGAGAAAGGTTTCTTAAACTAGACCCACACACTCAAAAGACAAGCCATTTAAAGGAAATCCTCCATGAATATCACATTAAAACTTAAAACGCCTGGAAAGGGAAAGCCAAGCAGGATGCATCGGCCAAAGGTTCCAATCCAAAGCAGCCTAAGTGTTCCTGGTGAAAGAAGGGCACAGACTGACTTCACACTACACAGAGCAGCGAGAAATCAACGGGCCACAGTCCGGAGCAGCAGCCTGGTAAACCTCCATCCACTGCCATCTGAAATGTGGACCCCTGCGACCCAGCATTTCTCTTTCATTCACAGCCACAACGGTCACTGACGCAAAAACAATTAATAAATTGCACTTCTGTGCAAGACCCGAAGGCAAGCGGGAAGACACGAGGCCATGGAGACACTCAGAAGACCCCTAACACTCTACCATGGGAAAGTCTCAAAAACATGCTGTCAGTGGAAAACAAGTCGCAAAACGACGGGAGCACCAGGATGTCATTAGGGCAGGGGAGAGAGCGCATGTTCTCTGTAGTGCCCGTGTGTGCGTGAAAACGCAGAGAAAGATCTGGAAGAACCACACCAGACAGTGGGCTCTGTGGAGAAAGGACTCGCCGGGGGCCTCCTATTCCGTCTGTGCAGGTGTGCGTCCCAGCCACAGCACCCCACGCGCGGCACACACTGCGGGGGCTGCCTGCACGGGAACCGCAGCCCGGAGCCTGGCAGCACGCAGCTGGCACAAGCAGACGCCGAGGCTCCGCGCTTGTGTAATCAGAAGTAAGGGAAAAGGGGGAGGGAGGGGCTGCAGAGCCGCAGGAGGCAACTCTCCGGGGAGCTGGAAATTTCCATACCTTGCCCGGGACAGCGGTTACAAAGTGCCTATGGTTTTCCAAATATCCAAGTGTACACGAAGAATGCGCCTTTTATCATATATATGCAACCTGTACATCGGCAAAGGTAATTTTAAAATAAATGCATCCATAAGATAAGATACAGTCAGGAAAGTCTGGAAGAAGGTGCCCAGAATTGCAGAAATGAGGCGCCCCAAAACAAGAACTCGCCGACACCTGCCGGCTGCCCCTTAAGTTCAAAGGCCCTCCAGGAAAAAGAGGGAGCCCTCTGCAAGGTTGACCACCCTATTTTTTATATAAGGAAACAAGCAAAGACGCAAATTAAAAGGCAAGTTGAAATTCTATTGGTTCGAAGTCTCATTTCCCACCGTGAGTAGAAATCCTGTGCGCGGCACAGCAGACACCAAGAGCCGAGCCCCCGCCGGCACGACCCCCTCCCGGGCAACTCCGCTCTGCAACCCGGGAGCCCAAAGACCAGGCTGGAGGTGACGGGTCCAAACCGCGGCCGAGGGCGGGACCGCAGGGACCCCCACCCCCCAGCCGAGGTCCCAGGACCAGGGCGAGTCCCCAGCACGCGCCAGCCCGCGCCGCCGCCGGGGACGCGCCCGGGCCCACACCGAGCGCTCGGGGGACGCCCCCTGCCCCCGGCCCCCGGCCCGACCCAGCGCCCGGGGCTGCCTCGGCGGACAGAGTCGGGGGCGGCCGCGGGTCTGCGCTCGCGTCGGGAAGCAGGGGAACTTCCTTTCTCTTCCCAAGTCTGCCGGACCCGCTCCTGCCCTCGACGCGGGACCCTCGGGATGCCCCCGCAGCCCCGCCGCGCGCCGCCCGGCCCTTCCCGCCGCACTCCGCAAGCCGCCGCGCGCGCGGCTCCGACCAGCCCGGACCCGGGGCGCGGGGCGCGGGGCGCCCGCCGCTTTGTGTCGCGCCCGCAGCCCCCGCGCAGGCCCGGGCCGGCAGGTTCTCGCCGAGGCGCCTCAGGGAGCAGGGCGTGCGGGAAGCGGCGAGGAAGCCTCCCTCCGCCCGGGCCTGCCCGCCTCACCTGCCTCGCCCGGCACCCGCCTCAGCGCCCCTCCCCGGCCGGGCCGCCGCAGCCGCCGCGGGCTCCCCACCTGGCTCGAAGCTGGGGGCGTCGGCGAGGGCCCGCGCGGCCGCAACCTCCTCCGCGTCTCCTGCCCGGCCCCCCTCGCCTGAGACTGCGGCAGCGGCGGCGGCGGCGGCTGCTGTTCAGGCCCCGGAGCCGCCCCCGCGGCGGACGTCCTCCGCGCCGGCCCGCGCCGCCTCCTGCCCGGCACGCGCAGCGAGCCCGCCCCCGGCGCGAGGGCGAGGGCGAGGGCGAGGGCGCGAGGCGCAGGGGCGGGCGCGCGCCGCCGGGGAGCGCGCGGGCGGAGGCGGGGCTTCCGCCGCGCGGGCGGGCGGGGGCGGGGCGAGTTCCCGCCCCCGCCCCGCCCCGTCCGGAACCGAGCGGCGAGCGCGCGCGGGCACTGGAGCGGGGCTGGCTGGGGGCCGCGGCTCGGAGCTGGCTGCTGCGCACGGGCATCCTAGGCGTGGCAGCTCTGTGGAGTAGGGGGCGGGAGAGGGCGTGTGGTGTGAGGGTCTCCGCTGCCGCCCTGAGCTCGCCTGGCGCCCGCCCCTCCCTCTGCAGCCGCGAAGGGACCGGCCACCCGCAACTAAGGGACGCGAGCGCAAACGCCGGGTTCATAAAGAACTGTGGGAGTTTATTCTTTTTTTTAAGATGCATTTATTTGAAAGTTGCAGAGAGCAAGAGAGAGTCTTCCACCCGCTGGTTCACTCCCCAGATGGTCGCAAGGGGCTGGGGCTGGGCCAGGCAGGAGCCAGGAGCTTCTTCCAGGTCTCCCACACTTGTGCAGGGGCCCAAGGACTTGGGCCATCCTCCACTGCTTTCCCAGGCCACAGCAGAGAGCTGGATGGGAGGTGGAGCAGCGGGGACTCAGGCTGAGGCAGTACCCGCGGTGCCATCACACCAGCCCGTTTGTTCGTTTTTACTCAGCACTCACAGTGTGGTAGGCGTTGAAAGGGTGAAACATTGGCTCCCTCCTTTGGAGAAAAAAAATGTGTAAATCACGAAAAATAAATATGTAAATGCAGCTTGGTGTGTTTGCTCATTCACTGAAACCAAGGTAATTCAGTAAGTGAGCTAGCCTGAAGGTCCTTCTGGGCTGGCCGGTGGGTGGGAGTGCCTGCTCCAAGTCTTAGCTCCCTCTCCTACACCTCCCCCCTGACGTGCACCCTGGGCAGCAGTACCAGGGCCCGAGTCCGTGGGTCTGTGCCACTCAAGTGGGAATCAGGAGAGGGCGTTCCTGGGTTGGGGCTGGCCTGGCTGTTACAGGATTTGGGGAGTGAACCAGGAAACAGAAGGTGCCCTCCATCGCTGCCTTTCAAATTAAAAAGAAATTTAAAATAAATCAAAATGTTTTTTAAAAGCAGATGGTTTAAGAGAAAAAGCAGTGAAACCTTCTGTCCTACTAGATTCTGCTGTGTTACTACTCCCTCTCCATTTTTTCCCCACAAATATCTTAAAAGTCATCTGTACTCATCTCGACTTCCTCAGCAGGTTCTCGCTCCCCTGACCCACACCCCACCGTGTCGCTGCACTGCTCCCGGTCACAAATGGCTTCTTTGACCCCAAATGCCACATGCCTTTCTTTCAAAAGTATTAGAGAAAGAGAGCCCATCTGCTGATTCATCCCCCAGATGCTCTCAACAGCAAGGGCAGGGCCAGGCCAAGGCCAGGAGGCAGAAATGCAATCCAAGTCTCCAGTACAGGAGGCAAGGACCCAAGTGCTTGAGCCCTCACCTGCTGCCTCCCAGGGTGCACATCAGCGGGAAGCTGGTCTCCTGAGTAGAGCAGGGGCCCGCACTGTAGCTTCCGTGGGTTAAGCTGCTGCCTGCAGCGCCAGCATCCCATATGGGCACAGGTTCAGTCCTGGCTGAACCACTTCTGATCCAGCTCCCCGCTAATGTGCATGGGAAGGCAGCAGAGGATGGCCCAAGTCCTTGGGCCCCTGCACCCGCGTCAGAGACCTGGAAGAAGCTCCTGGCTCCTGGCTTCAGATTAGTGAAGCTACGGCCGTTGCGGCCAACTGGGGAGTGAACCAGCAGATGGAAGACCTCTCTCTCTCTCTCTCTCTCTCTCTCTCTCTCTCTCACTGCCTCTCCTCTCTCTGTGTAACTCTGACTTTCAAATATATAAATAAATCTTTAAAAAAATAAAAGTACAGGCAGGGCTCACAGCCAAGCACTCCAATGTAGGATGCAGCCTTCTCCACGCCCACAGCTACCAGAACACCCAGTAGCACCTTCCTGGTTTTGAAACTCCCTTGACTTTGTGACATGACTTCTTTCTCCACCCTGTACCCACTCCTCAGCCTCCAGGGCTTTGTCCTCGCTCATCTCCCCCACGTGTTCTCCCTGGACCATTTCACCCACCCCACGCACATCAGCAGCTCCCCCACTGCGCCGGGTTCTGTGTACACTGAAGCCTCCCAGACTTCACTACCCGCTCGCCGTAGAGACAGCTCAAGCTCCAGAAGCCTAACACTGGTTAGCACCCCTCTGGGCACAGAGACGGGAGTTCCTTCCCCTGCCTCCCACACAGCCAACAGCCACTGGGTGCCCCTGATTCTACCCTGTAACTTTGCAGTCTGCCCCTCTGGGCCCTTCTCACCCACAGGGATGCAACGTTCTCTGTCTCCTCCTGTAGCCACGTTCCTTATATTCAGGAAAATGCAAGTTCATACTACACCTGCTAGAATGGCAAAACCTCAGCCTGACAATTTCTAAAGTTATGCAGTGATGCTGGGAATATAATGAGGTGCAACCATTTTGGCAATGCCTCCTCATGTTGGAATTTGCATACCTTATATCCAACAATTCCACCCCAGACATGCCCTCCACACACCAAAAGCTTAGTACTTAAAGTACTAAAAACAAGCCAAGTGTCCAAAGGAGGAGAAATGAATAAATTACGTAGAGCTCCACGATAGAAACACAGCAGTGAATATGGACGATCTGCTTTACATGTCTGCTTTACATGACATAGACAAATTAATCCAATTTTTTATTCATGAAATAGAACTCTTATAAATCAAAGTATGATACACCCAAGGTAAATAGCAATGACTGCCATTATTCGTGTTCTGTTTCTTGTGTGTGTGTATAATGTCACATATATTCTTTTGTATGTATCAAATATCATCTTTTAAAAAGACAAAGAGATAGAAGGTATATGTGTGTGTTTCATGGCCCCCGAGTAGAAGACTGGATGGAAAGAAGCCAAATAGGAGAGAGGGAATCTCTTCCTGGATTAAGAATTACCTTAATTTTCTTTGTATGTGTTTGTATCTTCAAAACTGTCTTAACACATGCTTTTTTTTTTTTTTTTTTTGACAGGCAGAGTGGACAGTGAGAGAGAGAGACAGAGAGAAAGGTCTTCCTTTGCCGTTGGTTCACCCTCCAATGGCCGCCGCGGCCGGCGCGCTGCGGCCGGCGCACTGCGCTGATCCGATGGCAGGAGCCAGGAGCCAGGTGCTTTTCCTGGTCTCCCATGGGGTGCAGGGCCCAAGCACTTGGGCCATCCTCCACTGCACTCCCAGGCCACAGCAGAGGGCTGGCCTGGAAGAGGGGCAACCGGGACAGAATCCGGCGCCCCGACCGGGACTAGAACCCGGTGTGCCGACGCCGCTAGGCGGAGGATTAGCCTATTGAGCCGCGGCGCCGGCCAACACATGCTTTTTTGGGAAAATGTTTGTAAAATCATTTTTACAATGTGCTAGAAGCTGCTCTATTTGCATTCGGCAGCCTGAACACCCAGGTCTTAATTAGCGTGGTTATAAATGACCCCGGCAGGAGCTGTGCAGTGCAGTCTCCAAGGTCACAGAAGACTGCAGTCTTGGCCAGGTGGTGAACTTGAGTGCTGGGAACAGAGCTGCACAGGGGCAGACACCGGCCAGCTGGTGTCAGCGCAGCCAGGAGGAAGTAGGAACAGCTCAAGGGAAGTAACTTCATGAACCTGCAAAATCATTCCTTGAAGTGACAAAGCCACTGTCCAGCCTGTCCTGGCTTCCAGCCTTCTCCCCCTACGCCCCACCCCTGATACTATGCAGATTTTTTTTTTTTTCCTGAAGGAAAACACTGTAAGTCCATCCTTGTATCAAATTACAGTGAATTAACCCCACAGTGTGTGTCCCACAGCTTGCAGGTGTCAGAACAGGCCTGGCAGGGGGCCAGTAGAGACTGATTACAATGACAAGCAGAAGGAGAGTCCTTTACATGATGGCAAGCAAAAGCCAAACAGTCCATGGGAGCAGGATGACAGCCTAGACCCCTTAGCCTCAGAGGACACGTTCCAAGACCCCAGCAGACGCCTGAGCCCATGGGTGGTACCAAACCCCAGCTATAAGGTTTGTTCTTACACTTACATGCTTATGATAAAGTGTAATTTATAATTTGGGCACAGCAATAGATTAACAACAGTGATCACCAAAGTAGCACAGTTATAAATACAGTGTAATAATAAAATTGTCAGCATCACTACTCTTGCAAATTGGGCCACGGTTAAGTAAAGTAAGGGTGACTGGAACACAAGCATGGTGTGACAGGTGATCTGATAACAGAGCTGGCTATGAAGTGACTGACAGGAGACAGGACACAGCCGGAGGCACTGGGCACAGGGATGGGGGGAGGAGCAGGACTGCAAGGCTTCATCACACTGCCCAGGATGGCATGAAATTTACCACATGAATTATTTCTGGAATTTTCCACTCAATATTTCTGGGCCACAGCTGACCATGGAAAGTGAAACCTGGATTTAGGGGAGACTATTGTATGTCAAAGGTGTACCTAGCCATGAAAGGTAGTTAGAGAGAGGGAGAGTTAGAGAGAGAGGTCTTCCATCTGCTGGTTCACTCCCCAGATAGCTGCAATGGCCAGAGCTGGGCCAGGCTGAAGCCAGGAGCCAGGAGCTTCTCCCCAGGTGCAGGGGCCCAAGCCACTGCTTTCCTAGGCGCATTAGCAGGGAGCTGGATCAGAAGCGGAGCAGCTACGACACCAACAAGTGCCCAAGTGGGGTACAGGCACTGCAGGAAGCAGCTTAGTCCACTAGACCACAATGCTGGCCCTGCGCCAATTCTTATAGTACCCACGGTCGCTTTTGGTGGGTGCAAGAGACAGACTGGGAATAAACCAGAAGCCGCTATTTTGCAGGGTAGATGGCAATTTGGAAATCCCTGCAGGCTAAGTCACTGACTCTCAATCTTGTCCAGACGTGAGATGAGGAGGGCACAGAACACAGACGGGGA